GCACCCTCCACGATGTCCTCTGTGCCGTCATGCCTGGGACCCAGCGCTCGATGCCAGCTTGAGCAGCACTTGCCACGGGCTCCACTTCAACCCCTTCCAAGAATCCGAGCCCGAGCGCGCCACGCCGCCCCCTTCTCCCCGCCCCAGGGGCGCGGCCGCCTGGCGCCAGCGCGGCCCCCCAAGTGGCATTGTCCGGACGGATGCCAACTCCTGGCTGTATGTGCCCCTGCTCCTCGCCGCGACAGGCGAGCTCCACGAGGATGCCGCCTTGGCCTGGCAACAAGCCACCGCCACCACACGGTGGTGGGAGCGCGCCCGGCAAGCGCTGACTGCCGCGCCCCCCGTCCCCCTCACCACCCTCCTGGAAGCCCTCCACGCTTGCCCAGCTGCTGGCGCGCTTTCCTCGCACCAGCGCCTTTCCCGACAGGCGGCCGCGCTCCCGCCAGGTGCCCAAGCGCATCTGGGCTGGGCAGTTCGCCACCTCTGCGACCCCGACGCGTACGTCCCCGCCGCTGGCCAAGAAGTGCTTCTCCAACTCTATGGTGGCCTTCACCTTGCTGCCGACCTCGACCGGCACTCGGACACCTTCCGAGCGCGCCCGGACCCTCCGGCGCCCATCCAGCTCCCTGCCGATCCCGGCCCCGTGCATCCCGCGGTCGAGACTTCGGCGCCCAGAGAGCTGGCCACTGTCCGGGCTCTGGCCCAACAGGTGGCCCGTGCCCACCGCCCCCCGCCGCGCCGCGGCGGTCGCGGCCGCGGGCGTGGACGACACGCAGCCGCGGCGGACCCTGCTCCCGCAGAACCTGCCGAGGTCCCAGACCCTCCGCCTCCCCCTCCTTCGCCCTCTCCAAACCCCGCAGCTCGGCTCCAACAAGCGCTCCGCAGCCTTGACGACCTCGACCTCGCCCACACCTTGCGGGTGCGGGTCTCGACGTTCCAAGGTGCGCCCCGGCGCTTGCAGGGGGTCCTTGCCTTTGCGCTCCGCCTGGGCCTCACCGAAATCTGCGACCACCCCGCCGACACGGACCCTGCCCAAGCACGTGGCTGGAAGCTCTTCCTCCTGGCCCCGCGGATGCTCTGCTACCGGTCCCGTCCCGGGGAGCGCGCCGACCCCAGCGACCTCGACCGCCGAGCCACTATGTTCCGGAACGGCCAGTGGCACCAGCTGCTCGGCGAAGCTGCCAGCAGCTTCCACCCCACAGCGCCGTCCTCGAGCGTCCCCTCTGCTGATGCGCGTGCTTCCCGTGCAGCCAGCCTGGCACATCAAGGGGAACTTTCCGCGGCTGCCCGGTCGCTAGTGGCCGAGCCCCTCGCGCCGCTCTCGTCCGCCACCCTGGCCGAGCTGCGCAACCCGTCCCGGCGCCCGCAAGTCCGGCATCGACCCCTCTCGGACGACGTTGCCTCTTTCCAGCCCGATGAGCTGCTCCACGTCGACGCCACCAGATTCCTGCAAAACCTCCGCCGGGCCCGCCGCGGGGCGGCCGCTGGTCCGTCTGGCTGCACCAATGAGCACCTCCGGGTCTTGCTCGAGTCTGAATCCGACTCCCGCCTCCTGTGCGACGCGGCCTCGCTCCTGGCCTCGGCGCGGGTGCCTCCCCTCATTATGGACGGCCTCCGAGTCGGCCGCCTTGTTGCCCTCCAGAAAGGCAACGGGCGTGTGCGCGGCCTCGTGATGAGCGACGTGTTCCGCCGGCTGGTCGGCCGGACCTTGGCGCAGCAATTCTCAGCCCAGTTCCAAGAGGCGTGCCACCCCTTTCAGTACGCCCTCAGCACCAAAGCCGGAGCAGAAGGCCTCGCACGCGTCGTCCGGGTCGCGACCGAGCTCGACCCCCGCGCTACCGTGCTGTCGGTCGACGGCGTCGGCGCTTTCGATCATGTCGGACGCCAGTCGATGCTCGGCAGCCTTCTCCGCTCCCCTGCGCTTCGACCCCTCCTCCCCTACGCCCGCCTCTTCTACGGCCAAGACAGCACCTACCTCTGGTGGGACTCTAGTGGCGCCTGCTACTCCGTTCAGCAAGCTGAAGGGGGGGAGCAAGGCGACCCGCTCATGCCTGCCCTGTTTGCGCTTGCCCAGCACCCTGCGCTGCAAGAGACCGCGGCCACGATGCGGTCCGGGGAAGCGCTCTTTGCTTTCCTCGATGACATCTATGTCATTTCGTCGCCTGACCGCACCCACGCGCTCTATTCCACCTTGCGCGTTTCCCTCCGAGGCCACGCGTGCATCGAACTCAACCAAGGTAAGACCCGAATCTGGAATGCGGCTGGGGAAGAGCCGTGCCACCTCCCAGAGCTGCAGCCGGCTGACAGCAACGACCGGGTTTGGGTCGGCGACTGGACTCTGCCCCCTTCGGCGCAAGGCCTCCAGGTCCTGGGCACCCCCATTGGGAGCGCGCAATACGTGCAACATGCTCTTACCGAGGTCCGCACCAAACAAGATCTCCTTCTCCACCGCATCCCATGGGTAGAGAACCTGCAGGCCGCCTGGCTGTTGCTCCTTTTCTGCGCAGCCCCCCGGAGCAACTATCTCCTCCGCGTCCTCCCACCGGCGGATACCTCAGACTTTGCAGCCGCCCACGACGCCGCGGTGGCACATTGCGTCAGCACCCTGGTGGCGGCAGGCGCGGCCCTTTCGGACCTGCAGCTACGCCGGGCCCAACTCCCATTGCGCTTGGGGGGGTGCGGCCTGCGCTCGGCCCACCGTTCGCGCCTCGCCGCGTATTGGGCCTCATGGGCCGACACCTTGCCCATCCTCCACGCGCGCCTTCCTCTTGTGGCGGACCGCCTTCTCCAGCTCCTCAGCGGCGAGGCCCGCCCACAACCACCCAGCATCCTCGCCGCCTCCCAGGCAGCCCAGCTCCTCCGGAACAGCGGGGCGACTGTCCCACCCTGGGAATCTATCATCGGCGGCCGCCATACCTTCTCGCACGAAGACCGGACCCCGGGCGATTTCCTGCGGGGGTGGCAGCGCGACATCAGTGCAGCCCAAGACTTGGACGAGCTCGCAGCGCTCCTATCTGACCTTTCCCCTCCGGAGCGCGCGCTTCTCCTATCCCAGGCTGGCCCACACAGCGGCCGCGCAGTCACAACCCTTCCTACCAGCCCGGAATTCCAGCTCGGCAACCCGCTTTTCCGCACCTTGCTGCAACGGCGGCTCCGAGCCCCCTTGAGCTGCGGCCCTTCCCGGTGTCGGTGTGGCTTGGCACTCGACCCTTACGGCGACCACCGTGCCGCATGCGCCACCACTGGCGTCCTCCGGGCACGAGCTGCGCCCATCGAACGCGCGGTCGCCCGCATCTGCCGCGAGGCCGGTGCCCGCGTCGCGGTCAACGTGCCGCTCTCGCGCATGAACCTCGCGGTCCCGGTCACCGACACACGCCAGATCGAAGTCCTCGCAAACGATTTGCCGCTCTGGCACGGGGCTCAGCTGGCAGTCGACGTGACCCTCGTCAGCCCCCTTGGCCGCACCGGACAGGTGCGCCACGCTTCCGACGCGAACCCGGGCGCGGCGATCCTGGCAGCCTCCCAACGCATGCGGGAACACACCTACCCCGAGTTTTCCGGCTCGCGCCGCTGCCACCTACTTATCTTAGGTCTCGAAGTAGGAGGTGCCTTGGCGCACGCCCGCGCCCGCACTGCGCCAGCACTCCTCCGCTCGGCGGCAGTTCAGGCCTACGTGCACCGTTGGACCGGCCTCCTATCCGTCGCGGCGCAGCGCGCCCTGGCCAAGACTCTCCTCGAACTCCCGGCCGCGGCCGCACCCGGCGTCGATGGGGAGCCCCCGCCGTTCGCCGCGACCCTGGCTGACGTCCGGTGGCATGAACGCCCACCGGATAGTCGCCTCCCGCGGTGACCGCTGTGGCTGTACATAGCCTCCCCCAATGGCAAAGTCCATTGGCGCGTGGGACGCAGAGTGGGTCATGCAGCAGGGGAAGAAAAAAAAAAATTAAATTCTAAGAAATGTTAAGAGATTTCTCTGTATTTTCTTATTTTATCCTTACCTTTTTATTGGGATTCCATTTCATTATGTGAAATTATACAAGAATTTTAAAATAATTTAATTTTTATATATAAAATATTAAATTTTAAAATAAACAAAAATAATAAGAATTAATTTTGCAATAAAATATCTTATTAATAAATTTATATTTAAATTTATCCAATTTCGAAGACCTCAGAAATAGCTTTAAAAAAAAAAAATCAAAATATTTTTTAAAATTTAAATATTAAAAATCCTCCAAATTTCATCAAATTTTTTAAAATTCCTTAAAATTCCTCTAAAATTTTCTAAATTCCTTAAAATTGTTCATAATTCCTTTTAAATTTGTAATATTTTTTATAATTAAAATGCCCTAAAATTCATTAATTTAAAATAATATATCCAATAAAATCGATATAAAAAAAAATATAGAACATATTAATTCCATTTTACAATAAAATATTCCAAATAATTTTTTTTTGTCAATATAATAAAAATATAATTTTAATATATTAAAAATTATTAAAATTTACCTTATCAATAAAATAATCAGACCAACCCCCCCAATAATAAAATAACTAACCTATTATTAATTTTAAAATTCCAATACATTAACTAGACGACGGATAGCCCGAGAGTGTAGAGAAACAGGGTCTTCTCTTATTAATATAGAAACCCAATTTTACAAACAATATATAAAAAATATATTATAGGTAGTCGAAAAAAGGAATAGCAAGACAAAATAGTGAGAAATGCAAAACAATATTTTACATCACAAACACTTTTACACACAAATGCTTTTACACACAAAAGCTTTTACTCACAAAAACTTTTACATACAGAAGCTTTTACACATAAACGCTTTTACACACAAGCACTTTTACACACAAACACTTTTATACACAGACGCTTTTACACGTAAACGCTTGTGCGCACAGAAGCTTTTACACACAAATACTTTTACGCAGAAATACTTTAACACACAAACGCTTTTACACACAAACGGCTTTACACACAAGCGCTTTTACACACAATTACTTGTACACACAGACGCTTTTACACGGAGGCCGGCCCATGTAATCACAGCGAAGTCATCGTTGTCGTGGCGACCTCAGCAATCCGACGGGGTGGTGGGGCGAAGTCCTATTTCCATGTGCCTCGAAATCAACATGTATAAACATGTCATGCGGGCTATGTGCTTTGGGGCCCCCCAACCAAGGTGGTTTGCCATCTCCTGAAAAAAGTATAAACGGGCGGACCTGGCAGGCGGCGATCGTTTCTGGGCTAAGACACGCACAGTATTTCAGAAACGGTTACGCGGGACGACTTGAAATCGCAATTTTACCTCAATTTTTGGCGATCGAACCTGCTAAGTTTCGTAGGTCAGGGTTTTAAGGGATTGGAAAAAAATGATTTGGGAAATAAAGGGTTTGGTCTGGGAAATAAGTTCTTTTTGGGCCCTTGGATAGGTAAAGTTCAGAGCAAATGAATGCACGTGCAACATCGTGCAACAACCCTTTTTGCTCACATCCGCCCCAGAAATCTCACGCTTTCGCCTTGGCCTTCCCCTTGGCCTTGGTGCCTGCCTTTGCCTTGGCATTTGCCATGGCGGCTAAAAGAGATTGCCCTGCTGCCTTTCCAGCTTCAGCCGCCCTTTCAGAATCCTCGGATTTCTTGGCGCTTTCTACTGCAGCTGCAGCAGGCATGGCAAAAGTTTCAACTTTGGCAGCAAGAGCTGCACCTTTTGGCTCTCCACCACTCACTTCACCCTCCACTGCAGGTGCAGGGTGTCCGCCATGGTTTTTGGTCAAGGCTGCAGCACCGGCTCCGACAGGAGCTTCGGTTGCAGCAAACTCTTCAGCTTCCTTTGTGGCTCCGGAAGTCACACAAGGAGATGCAGCAGCACCCGGGGATGGGGCGGCCTTGGCTTCCCCATGGCTTTCCTCTGCAGGATGTCCGTCATGGTTGGCGACCAGGGCTGCAGGACCGGTGTCCTCAGAAACTTCTCCTGTCTTTGACTCGACTCTGGAAGGAGCTTCGGTTGCAGCAAACTCTTCAGCTGTCTTTGTGGCTCCGGAAGGATTGGTCTCGTCAGGCACACAAGCAGCTGCAGCAGCACTTGGGCCTGCAGCACCGGTGTCCTCAGAAACTTCTCCTGTCTTTGACCCGGCATCCTGAAAGCTTTCAACTTTGGCGCTGGGTGCGCGCGGAGCTGCAGCAACAGCCGGGGCACCTTCACAGTCAGCTTCCTGCGCAGCTTCAGAAGCAGCTGCACCCTTGGCATCCTCACCACCCGCATCGCCCTCACTCTCATAGGCGTCGCTTGGAGACAAAGCAGCTTCTTCCTGCAATACAGTGACACTGATTCCGGCAATCCGCCATGAAGGGCCGTGGAAGGGTCCGATTTTGCAAGTGGTGGACGGTAAAGGGAGGGCAGTGAAGCGAGGTGTGCAACAAACAAGATTGCAAAATTACAATCTGACATGGGATGGGGCTTGTTTGCAAAGAGCACTGAAAGGAAGGTCAACACACAAACAAACCGTTGACAAGCTTTTTGTAAATCTTGCAAAACTAGCTCCACATAACTCCCATTGACCACCTGCACAACGCAACAACCCTGCAAATCAAGACTCGTTTAGAAACCCCCATCTTGCTGCTCCTCCACCAACTTTGCAAACTCATCCTCCAGACTTTCGTCCTCGACATCAATAATGCCCCTCGCAGCGTCGTTGCCCGCAGTACCGGCAGGAACCTGGACAACCCGTAGGTCAGGAAAGATGGTCATGGAAGAAAGGTACGGTCAATGGCTTGGATTTGAATCGCTACAATTATCATGGCGCTTAACAAACGTAAATCGGACAATTGCACCTCCTGCAACTAAAGTTACATATCACTCAAGTTATAAACCGATGAAAGCTGTTGAGGTCTTGGTGTAAAGAATTCGTATCGTCCTGTCAGAAAACATGTTTCTATGTGAAAAAAAAAGAACAACGGGAAATCCTGCTTCATGTCCAACATGTAGAGCGTTTGAATAATTCCTCTGCTGACCTGCCTGACCACCTGCCAACATGGTTTGGTTGAAGACAAATGTCGAACTTGAAGTAAAAACGTGAACTGGAATTTGTCAGGAGATTCTGACCATGGCACCGCGCCATCGTTTGAACCCCTCGCCCGCCTCCACTTTGACCTGGAGACGCTCTGCCTTTTGCATGGGCGTTCTGGATTCTTCCTTTGCTTCGGCCTGGCAGCATACAAAGTGATCGATGCCGTGAGTTTGCCTACAAAAACACCACCATGGCAGCTAGCATCAGGATTTATTGACCCATTCGTCAAAAAAGTTAGTGAGCGCAACCCATGTCAAAACGGATGCCTGAGAGAATCTCAAGTCGGAATGTGGAAATCGGCTCCCCAAATCACATCATTACGAGCAAGCCGCACTGCATGGTCGCAATGTTTAGCGACAGCCACATCACCTAGAAGGAAAGTCACATCATGTCACTGCAATCCCCATGTCCCCACGACTTTCTATGATTCATTCAATCATAGAGAAAGATCCGCATTGTTGCTTTGGCTCCTTATACTTCCAGAGTAAATTCGTTGCCATGTCTGTGGGTGCTGAAGTTGCGCGTTGTCGGGTTTTTTCTCTTTGTGAATATCGATCGTTTTGATCAAATTCCCTGCGTTTTGTTGTTTTTTCTCTTTGCTTTCTCTTCAAAATCACCCGGGGGGAATCTGAACAGAAAACGAAGAATAATTTGAGCAAAACAGGGGTAATTTGAACAAAAACCGAAAGTGAAAAAAAATCAATGATGTTTGCAACCAAGCGGGGTTCTGCCGAAATTGGGCTGGGCTTTCACACCACTCACATATAATCAAAATCTAACGGGAAGGGTTAGGATGAGGCTGAGAGCAGGTTACCAGAATAACATGTCGATTCCAAAATCGGTAAACCTAAAAATATGTAATGTATAACGTGTAACTTCTATATATTTACATTTTCTTAAATTATAATTCAAAGTATATATATATATATGCACATCTAATTATATATTTATATATACATATATACGTACATACATACATACATACATACATATATATATATATATATACATACACATACATACATATATATATATATTTAGATAAATAGACGTACTAACATATATATATATATATATATTCATTTCTATTTGTTTATTTATATCTATTGATATATCTATGCAGGGGAAACCGGTCAAACAAGGAAAGGCTGGATCCAAGTTTAACCTGGAAACGAGGGACCTGTCCACTTTCAATGGCCAGGGCTATTTACATCTACATAACTGATGTATTCGCAATGTATTGTATCACTTTGCCCGGTTGATATGCATGTTGGTGATACGATTGAGTGCGGCTCAATGATTTCTCGGCGAGGGTCCCTTGGGCGACAGCCCCGGTCCTGCCTCATTACCTGCAGGCTTTTCACTGGTCTTTGGCTCATCATCTTCATCCACTTCGGCTTCAGCACTCACTGGTGGGTCAATGGCATCATCCGGAGTCATGGCGACACGGCTTTTCGCGCAGCATCTTTCCACCATTTCCAAGCAAAATTCGCTCATCTTGTTCCTCAGTGGGTCTTTTGCCGCTTTCTACAGCGGATCAAGAGTATCGAAAAAAAATTGGGGAACCTCGGGCTGAGATCTCAGTTGGAACAGGAAGCCGTGTCCAGCATGTAGCTAAAATGATTTATTCCTCCAAGGACTCTGAAACGGTTTGCACACGCTGGGTCGCAACCACTTTATTCCAAAAAGTGCATTTCTTTGACTGAGCAGGCTCAGGGACCCTGGAAAATCTTTCAGCATGGCACGGTAGTCTTCCACCATGTTTGGCGAAGCCAACAAAGCTGGAACTCTCAGGCAGATGCAATCGCTGTTCAATCCTTTCTCTGAAACGATGCAAGCAGCTGGAGTAAAAAGCAGGTCGCCTGGCATTGCGTAGGCATATCGAAGGCTTTCAACAGACTCCGCCTTTGCTGCTCCAAATGCCTCGAAACTTTTCACTTTGTCTTGAACACTGGCGTCAGGGAAAAGGGCATCCAGCTCTTTCAATTTCACGAGAGACCTTGCAAGGTTTCCTTCCATGACATAGGTGAAAGATGGTGTGCCGCCTGGAATGACACCTGACCAAACTGATCCCCGTGGAACTCCCACCGTCGATGCGCCCGCAAGCTTCTTGGCGGCATCCTCTTCGCCAAGTTCCGTCCTGGGGAAGGTGCTCGCATGAAGCAAGCTGCTTCACCTACCAAAACCCTGGGACTAACTACAGGCTGGGCCCTAAGATGAAATGCAAAATTGTCAAATGGTGAGTGGAGGAGAAGAGGGCTGATTCCAACCCATCGAGTCAACTGCCTGAAGCAGAATCCAAGTGACAGGTGCTCAATGGCCGCAAGCCGATCGAAAACCCACGCGTCAGGGGCACCTCGCAAAAAGTACAATCTCTTGGATTGCAATCAAACCCACATGTGCAGCCCAAAATTTCAATAACCATAAAGGGAACTCTACAAAGGAAATAGATGGAAGCCCACGCAGGTTGGGAATTTTGTCGGCTCCCCTTCAATTCTTCAATTAATATGCCCCAAATCAAACCAAGCGACTTGCGCCGCTCTGTCCTTCTGTGATGCATCCATGCAAAACGCCATCAGCTGCCAGAGCTTTTGCCCGGTCAACACCGCAGTTGAAATAGCTGACTTTGCGCACATCCTTGTCATTCAACCTTTTCAAAGCGGCCCCCACATTGGCCGCCTGGCTGGACACATCTTTCGAGAGATGCGCCAGGAAACGTTTGATGTCTTCAGAACCTGATGATTCGTTGTCGCCAGCAGCAGCATTCTCACTAAACTCTGGGAACGACAACCCTGCCACCTTCTTGACGGCGGCCTTCTTCATTCGCAAGACTGCTGCCTCCCCCCGTATGCATTGCTCAAGAAATGCACGGGGGTCTGTGAAAACTTTGCACTGCTTGGCGGCATCAAACTGGTTGCCTTCTTTGAGCACAGAAGGGTCTGAGTCAGCAAAGTCTCCTCGGGTCCGACCTTTCAGACTGACCCCTGAATTCCTTTTTCGCCTCTTACTCTCCTGTCCTGACAAGCCCCGGAGATCCAAAAGGAACCAGTCTGAAGAGCTCGGAAATTGTTTTTTTTGGGCGAGAAGGCAGAAATACGAACAAGTAATTGTGAATTCCAGGTGCAACATTGTGCAATCCTACTTTCTGATGGGCAGGCTTCAAAGCCGTTCGGCCACCTCTGTGTCCCACGGCTGTGTCCCTCCCGCCTTCTCCATCCTGTTCATCTTCTTCTCCTTTGCGCTTACCTTTTGCTTTTGCTGCAGCTTTTGCCTTCTTTGCAGCCTTCTTCTCGGCAGCAGTGTCGTCCCTATCTTTTTTCTTCTTCTCTCGCTCCGCGTTCCTGAGCTCGTTCCAGTCAAAAACAAACATGCAAAATTGACCCCGGGGCGGCAGCCCATGTATGCTTCATTCATGAAGTATACCAATTGTGCAAATCTGCACTGAATTGTTTAAATTCCTCTTGTTTTTGATTGTTTTCTGTTTGTTTTGGGTTTAAATTCCCCGATGTAAAACGTTACCAAAAACAAAGTCCGCCGGCCTGCTGGCGTGTTTTGTGGATCTTGCTTGTTCGTAGTTGTACTGTCTGTCTTCTCTTCTACCTTCTCTCGCCTTCCCCTTGGCGCAGATTTTTGTTTCGTCTAACTTGAGCCATCCACCTCTCTCCGCCCCTTCCCCCCCACCTCGCTCCTCCTCCTCCTCCCCAGCCCCTCCTTCCCCCCCGGCCCCCACCTCCCTCAACACATGCTTGGTTTTAGAAGATTTTGTTTTTACTATTTCATGTTATTTCCACGGTATCTTGCTGCCTTTCTTTGCTGTGTTTGCCATCGGTTTGCCCCGTCGTTTCTTATCCAATACTTGATATAGGTGGTCTGCATCCACTGGCTTCTGTGCAGAGCACCTTTTCCATTCGTAACCTTCCTGTATATGGTCTTTTCTCAAACCCTGGCTTACACGCTCATGCCTCAATGTTTAAAAATTAGCGGTGATTTACACAAAATCCATGTTTTGCGTAAAAGCCATGGCTTACTTACACAAAACAGTGTAATTTTACACCAACACTGTTTGACACAAAACCCGTGCTTTACACAAAAACCATGTTCTTGCTAGGCTTGCTCAAGCGCTTTTTGCAGCTGGCAGGATAGCTCTTTCCATGGTGACGGTGGCTGGCGGAACACGCCGAAGGCGGTAAATAACTTGTGAATGCTACACTTGCCAAAGAAAACTTTTTTCTAGTCAATATGCGCTCCGACTGTGGAGGTTGAGTGCTATATCTTCGGCTGAAATATTTGAAATCTTGGGTCAGGCAAGAGGCTTCTCATCAAGCTTCTGGAGACGCAACTCTTCTTTCTTGTTTTTTTCTTCCTGCTTGGCAAAGCTTGAAACCAGTGGAAGCTTTAGACCCTAGAGACTATAGATTACATCAACTGACGGAAGATCATTAATTGAATGGTTATGGCATTTGCGCATGCCCGCTTGTACTTTGCACATGTCGGTGCATGTGCGCGGGTGTCTCTCCGTCTGTGTGTGTGTGCACTGCGTCTGCGTTTGTGTGTGTGAGGATCTAGGGTGAAAAATATATATTATGGGTTCTCCTTCGCTTCTATTACATTAAACCTTTTCCTGTGCTGCGTGTGTGTGTGTGTGTGTGCTTTCTTGTCTTCTGTGCTTCTGCGTCTCTGTGCGTGTGTCTGTGTGTGTGTGTGCCAAACAGTTTGTGCGCCTATGTCTGCATGTGCTTTCGTGCCTGCATGCGTCTGCGTGCGCGAAAGTGCGCACATGTGTGTGTGTGCGTGTGTGCATTCAGCAGTGTGTGCGTGTGTGCACGCGCGTGGTGCGTGCGTAGGTGCGTGCGTGTGCGTTTGGGTGTGTGTGCGCGCATGTGCGTGTGCATGCGCATGGCAGAGTGCATGTGTTTGTGTGTGTGTGTGCGCGTGCGTGCGCGTCTGTTGGTGTCTGAGCGCTCGTGTGTGTGTGTGTGTGGGTGTGCGCACGCTTGTCAAGGCAAGCTTTTCCACGAACGGCGCGAAGCCAAGGTGCCTCGTCTTGGTGTTTCTTCAAGGCATCGCGGGTGGTAAGATATTGCGACAAGCTCGTTGAAGAACATTGCACAAGATGGCCCAGCAGTTTCAAGGCTGCAGCTTGGTCGTCCGCCAACTTTTGGATCTTAGGCACTGAGTTCTGAATCGGCCATTGGGCCTTGGGGCTGTCAAGGGATTCTGTCGGGATTTTTCAAGCTCAAAGGAGCTCTGAGTTCCTGGCCCTTCTAGACCAGTGAATGTACCTGATAGTGAAGACGCTCTGCATTTGGCTTTCCTCCAACACAGCCTTCATGTACGGATCTTGATGCCTGGGGCGATTGTGCAGATGGAAGTAGGCTACCGCAGAAAAAGGCTGTCTCTTTCACAGCCCCAAGCTAGCCTGCTTGTGAACACAAGAAAAAAAGCGCCACTAATTGAGCAGATACCGACTTTGAAACCAAGTTTTCAATTTGACTGCTCAAAGCGTGCGAAAATTTAAACATATACCTGTACATTAGCTCAGAAAAGACACATCTTGGCCCGGAGGATGTCGTTGTCCGCTTTCATGTCTGCAACGCTCCTCCTTGGCATTGGACCATTCAGGCGGGGGCTGGAATCTAAGCTGAGCACCCTCTTGGCTCTCATTTGGAATCATCTATAACTTTCTATAAAGAAAGGCTGACAACCAGAGCAACGCAGAGTGTGGAGAATTGGCGGCAATGTACATTAGCAGTTTGGAATTCCCAAATCCGGAATCTTGGGCACCACAATTCAGCGTTCAACTTCTATTCCGGCCACTAGGAGCCGTTTGCCCACTGCTGGTCGAAATCTTTACACCAAGCTGCTCGCCCTCTTCCAAAGCCAAGTTCAGCATCTCCAAACGTTGCGCCAACAGCTGGACCTGCAAGGCTGCCGGGGAAGTGCCAGAGCGAACGGTACAGAAGAGCCTAACACCCAGGTGGAGGATGTTTCTGGTGTTTGTCAATTTGATTCATCTCTTCCGCCCTGTCAGCGCCGGCCATTTCGGCCACAGTTGACGAATGTGTGTGTGTGAATGCACATGCAGAGAATTGGTCCAACTGCTAAATCAATGTTGAAGGTGTCGTGAGCAAACCTATAGTTCAATTCAGCAACAGAAGTCCACACACGGCTTGCTAGGCGCATTTGTTCCAACTCATCTGCATAGAAAACACTCACCAGGATCCCGCAATTGTGGCAGGCTGGCCTCAGGGCTTACTAGCTCTCCTTCGGTCTGTGGATCAGGCACTTCAGCAGCAAGCTTGGCCTTGGCCCTTTTCAAGCCATCAAGAGCAGCGGTAACCTCCTTAATGGTGGCCGATTTCAGCTTTGCAGCAGCAACTTCTGGAGCTTCCAGCCCATCAACCGATTGTCTTCCTTTCTTACCTGGCGCCGCAGCACCCTTTCCTCCATTCCGCTTGCGGTTGTTTGCCGAGGGCCTGCGCCAATTTTATTCGTGGAAGCAAGCTTATGGCATTCTGAGAAAGTCACAGGATGTTGAAAGGCGGAGTTCGTGAGCATTAATGACTTGCCACTAGAGAATTGGCATGCAAAAAGCAACCCATTCCAAACCCTGGCAGAGCTATATAAGTAGAAGCCACGATAAGCCTATGTATGGCGAATCTACTTCACAGCGCTGCTGGCCTTCCATCATTCACTTCCTCCAGCGCCGGCCTGGAACCTGCGAAGCAGATTTGGTAAAGCTTGACATGACACATGCCACTAGTAACACGGCACTGAAGGCAACCATTCCCAAACCACAATAACCAAATCCAGGTTCATGAGTCATAGCAGCAAAAATTTCGAACGAGCTCGAGCTGTTGGAGTCAGCCGTTGGAAATTAGAACTGTAGCGATTCATTCCCAGGCCTGCGGCCGATGTCGAAGACAAATTCATCTCATCAGCCCATGATTCCTGCAGTTCCCTGTGTTCCTGGATTCGCTTCTCAGTTGGTGCCTTTGTTTCCATGGTCTGGGTGTGGGAAGTGCCTTTCTGGTCAAAGTCCACGCTGGTTTTCCGGTCTTCAAGAGGGACCCACAGGATCCAAACCTTGCAAAGCAGATGGGAACTGGCGAGCGGAGGTCGGAGGTGGCAGGGGCACAATGCAGACTCAGTTGCCATCTCCTTATTCATGGATTCATGATGCTCTTGCTCAATACCTTCGAAAATTAAAAACATGTTTCTTCAGACATGAGATCCTAGGTCCTATGCCCTCGCCGGCCATCACCGGCAAGTCACGCGGCCAGTGCTCTCTCCGTCTTCGTTGTTGCTTTCCCGTTGTTCTTTGGGAAGCCTTTGGAAATCAATTGACCAACGCTCCTCTGCTGCTTTCGGTGACAAACCTGAATTTGCTGAAATAGAGCAAATGTAAAATCAAGGAATATGTGGGGAGCGGGTGCGAAGATGACTTGTAAATTTGGTGTCTGTGGCTGCACAGGTTAAAACAACAGTCAGATATCGGAACGAAGAATTGGAAAGCAGCTGTGTGGTATAACCAGGGTAAGGTTACACTAAAAACAGTTCTCTGCTTGCTACCCGGCTGTATTGCCTGCCAAGCATCGCTTATAGCGGGGTGCGGTCTGCGACCAATATGTGATGTAGTCCTCCTTGCACATCGGAACGGAGTCATTCTTGTGTTCCTCGCGATGCCTTGGTGGCTGCGTAGACGCCAAATCAAAAGCAAAGAAATGAACTTGCAGCCCGGCATCAATGTGACGCATGCAATCGTGCAAATGGAGGTGGGCCCCAAAGTCACACCAAAGATTGCCAGACGCTTCCTCTCGTTTTGTGGGTCGGACAAAGCCTTCCAACATGATAGCCCGGCTACCAACCATATCCAACAATACTAAGCCAAGGGGCCCCTTCACCGCCTCCTTGGCCACTCGAGTCCAATCGTATTGGACCCTGGCCACTCCACGCTTGTTTGTGGCTGGCGCCCTCGGGAGTTTGATTCACAAGTGCGCATCTAAGTTTTGCTGCCGAAAAAACATGTCCAGCTGACACATACCAATTTCAACAATTTCAACTTCAACAGCTTGACACTGTCTGTGTCTGACCGGAAAAGAACGAGTGACTTTTGGGCTTATAGGACTAATTAAAGAGGATATTTGAGTGAAGCTATATCTCTGGAGGTGAGCATACACCAAGGTGCTTGTCACAAAAGTCCACAAGCTGTGCTACAAAGGCGTCTGGATCCGTCTCCTGCACTGTGACATGTGTAACAGCACCAAACCGTAACCCAAGCGCAAAGCCCCCAGCAAGCTTTAATACATTGCTGATTTGACCCATATCTGACTGAAGCATCAAGTTCAATGTGCCACCATTGGCTCCCGCCTCCAGTGACAACAGATAAGCGCGCACGTCTCCTCAGGGCCAATCAAGAAGGGAATTGGCCAGGGGTGATTTGTTTTAAGTTTCTGGCCAAGCCCTGCCAATTTCTGCCCCCCTCTCCTGATAGAAAAATCCTCAAGCCTTGACCGCCAGATGCCGCCCCTAAATCAAGATAAGTAGCTGCCACTCTTCTGGGCTTGGTTCAACATGGCATCTCTCTCCTTGCCATGCTCCGAACAAAGCGGGACTCCATTCCCACGCCAAACAATGGGCGCCTCGCATTTTCTGCATGTCTCGTTGTGGACATTCATTGTGCTGAGTCAAGTGTAGAGCCAAACACTGCACAGTCAGTTAGGGATGCTGACAAAGAGAAGGAAAATGCTATGTAAGAATAGAGGAGGGGAAGAAGCAAGAATGAAGAATTGTCTATTTGGTTCTCCGCCGTTTACCGAAACACGAGTCTGACAACATGATGACTTGCATCTGTCCGGATGCTTGTGCTGACAGCTGACAATAGTGCTGACAATGATCCTGGCACATGAAAAAAATCCGGGATTTGATCTAGCAGGCTTCAAGTCCGGGATGACATAGAAGATATTCTGACTAGACCCGCGATGAGACAAGGTCCGGGAGCTGTCTATCTTTACGAACTCCGGCATGGCATGAAGCGCTGACGCAATATCTAAATACCCTAGCTCACATGACAGGCGCGGATAAAACAAGGTCGAGAGGTGGAAAGGTGGATGAGCACCAAATAAGAAGGCAGTGGAACCACCGAGGCCGGTCACTTGCCACTGGAGAATCTGACGCGCCCCTCGTCCCTTGTGATGATGTTTCCGACATTTTTTCCCCTGTGAAACTCAAAGAGGCCACCTTTTTGCGCAGCACTTCTTCCAGCCATCACTGTGTTTGAACTCCCAGCCATTGTGCTTGACAACGACTTCGTGCAATCAAAATCTTGAGTGCGCAAATAGGCGACCCCACAGACTTGCATCGGCACTGTTTCCAACATTGGTTAAACTATCATGCAAACCTTTTAGCCATCATCAAGTCTCAGACAGAGGCTGGCCCTTTGCACTGGGGATTGCTGACATCGGCCAAAGCGAAAAAAGTCATTTCAGTCTGAGCCTGGCTAGAATCACTTCTCACAATGAAATTCCTTCTCAGTGTTGTAGACGGACGCTTACCTGCAAAGCAACAGATTGCAAAGTCCTGTGCGTGATTGTAGATGGACTTTCCCGTCTTCTCTTCCACGCTGCTCCCCTTAAACTTCTTTCTATACAAGCAAATGCAGGCCAAACCAATAACATACCAATGTGCTCCGATTTGCATGGGAGAACATGGACCCTAAGGAAAAAATTGAGGAAGAAACCCAAGCAAAAAACCTAAAACCATTCCGCATGGGGTGTGCAATACCAATGTGTATGATGGGGTGAAATATACATATATATATATATATGTATGTATGTATATCTACACACATACGTGTATACAATATACTTTTTATATCATAGTGACGGACATATACTTAGATACCTCATTTTGCCAACATTTTCACCTCTCACACGTAGAACCCCACAAAAACCTCCACAGATAGAACCCTTTGGGTGCAAAAGGTTCTTACTGTGGAGTCACACAAGCCAAAGATGAGGGTCCTGCCGTGCTGCTTTGATGCAAAAGGTTCTTACTGTGGAGTCACACCAGCCAACAATGATGGCAAGGAAATTTTCAATTGATATCCAATTGATTTCATTGATTTCAATTCGTTGATGTCAAAGCTCTAACGCAGCCCGAATGTACAACCATGCTCACCTGCATACATGTGCACCTGATGGCATACATGTGCACCTGATGACATACTCATGATCTACGGCCCTACAGGACGCAAGTTGGCGGCGCCGTGGGTTTGGGTGGGCGGGAAAATGAAAAAGGGTGCCAACGCGAGGATAGCCTGGCTCTGAAAGTTCACTTCGACACTCAGCCAGGTGCCCCTGGCCCCGAGATTCTCTCCATGCGGCTGTTTTGGCTTAATACCCTGATGGACATTTGACCCAAATGAATGCATGGCATACACCAAGCCTGCCCAAAGCACGATATGCATGTATACACATATTCATAATAATTTTCAGATATCATAAAGGAAGCAAAATTATGCAAAAATGCGAGCATGTCTGTAACAAAGCCGTCTCCGACCCTTATGATCTTTATGCATGCTTCTCTTGCAAACAAAGCATTCAGCGTCTCTTCGTGCCCCAGTTGCACGCCCCCAGGGGAGAAGCCAAGGTGCTCGAGAGACTTTAGCTTCAGGGAAGTGAAGATTGTTGCCCAAATGGCTGCGATACAAGAGACATGCATCGCCTTGTGCACCAGAGCAGGCGAAAGCTAAAGCAACGTACCGGGAAAAAAAAAAACAATATAGTGAGATATCCACCACTTTGCCAACTTTCAGAAGGCAACATGATTCAAAAGCGCTGCATTCTGGCCTCACTGCTTTTATTGCTGTGAAACTGCCTTTTCGATCATGTGCTTTGCCGAGCAACATTGCCAGCCAAGTGCTTCAATTCCGACTCTTGCAAGCTGGCGCCCCACAAGGGGAAGGGCAAGAAAGGGGAGCAGCTGTGGTGCGCATATTGGCACATACCCATGCAATGGGCATGCTCCTGCGCCGCTTGCAAGTTTGCTCTGAACGTGGGGCTTGCAAGGGAAAAGCAGTCAGATTATACCGGCAAGAGACCCCAAACAGTGTGGGGGAGTGGGAGGATAATGCATGATAATGTTGAAGATGATGAGATGATGATGATGATGATGATGATGAGGATAATGAGGATGATGCGGGAAATGTTGCCGACGATGATGTTGAGGATGATGAATGAGAAGGTGCAGATTGAGGATGTTGAGGACGATGAGGTGGAGGGTGGTGATGTTGAGGATGAACATGTTGAGGACGATGATGAAAGAATGCTACTGTTGCGGAAGATGACGTGGATGATGATGATGATCATGATGATGATGATGATGTTGAGCAGGATGATGTCAAGGGGGAGGAAGATGATGCCGTTGAAAATGATGATGTTGAGGAGGAGGAAGATGATGATGTTGAGGAGGAGGACTGAACCCAAGACCTGGACCCCCACTTTGTACGAGCCTGCGCAGTCGAAATGCACTTGAACGGGTCACAAGAGCTAGTTCGCGCAAGCATTTACAGGCAAAAAGCAGCCGACGAAGATTGCGGGCCACACTTTGCACGAGCATGTGCAGTTGAAATGCAATCGGACATGTCATACTAAGCCATTTTGCACGTGAATGCCCGGGGACAATGCCGTGGACCAAGATCGCGGACCACACTCTTTACGAGCCTGCGCAATCGACATGCATTGGACATGTCGCGTGCAAGAGCCATTTTGCGCGAGAATTTGGCAAGTAAAATGGCACGGGCCAGCTGGAGCACCCTGATCAAGCACCGGCCCTTACCACCAGTGTAAAAACCCTCCAGTCTGGACACGCTGTTTGGGGAAAAAGCATGTTGCCATTGCGATTGGCTGGTTGTTCCGAATCAACAATCAGATTGAGAGCGCGTCTCCAGCCAAATTCAGTCCTTTCCAGAAAGCGCCCGCTGCTCGCACACGGAGCCATCCTTTGCTAAATCCAAGAGAAACATCTCTCCTCTTCTCAGGAGAGTTGGCATAAATTCTCCAACCAAGGGCCTCCGCCCTGGATTTTGTAGCAGGTTGGCTACCATTGAAGGCACGCCTGGCACAGATGGACGAAGATCGTGGAATTTCCAGTGGTGGTTTCTTCACTGA